TGTTTAGTGTGGGTTTGATATTTCATTAGTGACTTAGAGGCTCATTGGTCTACAAAAGGCTCATAGGTGGTACTGAATAAAGAACTCCAGAGAAATATAACAGCCATGATAACTAGCAGTATCAATAATTTAGCATCTTTTGTTTTCATTGCAGCCTGGTGACAGTATTCCAGAGTATAGAGTTTCATGAGGCAGTTTTAAATTGCTTCATTAATGCAAATCAGACAATGTGCTGATGTTGTGGGACTCGGTTTTCCCACCCTCTACCTCCACTTTTTGAGACATTCTATTGCAGTAAATTTCTGCACCTAACTTATGGTTTAGTTAATAATTACTTCACCGTAAACTCTGGGAGCATTTAAATTCTGTTTGGAAATAATAACTATGCTATGTGAAAACATCTGATCCTCTAGTTACAGGCCAAGGTGTTAATATTTTCATTTAAGGTTTAGGGGACAATTAACATGTTAGTTTCTTATTGCTGCTGTAACAAGTTACACGTTTAGTGGTTTAAAACAATGCAATTTTATCATCTTACAGTTCGTCGGTTAGAAGTCTGACACAGTCTCCTGCACTATGATCGAGGCGTTCTTCTCTGAAGGCTCCAGGGGAGGTTCATTCCTTGCCTTTTTCTTCTAGAGGTTGCCCGTACTCCTTGGCTCACGGTCCCCTTTCTCCATAGTCAAAACCAGCAAGGGAGACTTGAGCCCTTTGCCCATCGTATCACTTTGACTTTTTCTTCTGCCTCCCTCGTCCACCTTTGTGATTACATTAGGCCCATCCAGATAACCCAAAATACTCTTAAGAGCACCTGGTTAGCAAATTTAACTCCGTCTGCTACTTTCATTCCTCTTTGCAACGTAACATGCAGTTTCCCTGGGATTAAGACGTGGACATCTTTGGGAAGGCGTTATTCTGCCTACCACACTAAAACAGATTTTTTAAAGCTGCCAAAACTCGAAAAATCTACCCATGAGTCAGGATCTCATGAGCCTATCTACTTAAGCCTCAGGTACAAATGGTTAACATTATTCTGTATTATAATATTCATTTCCTGTTAAGATACAGACACAACTATACGTAGTTCTAAAAAAAAGCACAGTATTTAAATAATTTGGATCAACTTACTAGGTGATCTACAGAAGACATCTGAGTAGGGTAGGGAACTAAACCAGGTGACACAGGGTTCTTTCTAACTTTGTAAATCTGCTGAGGACCTGCAGAGTCCTGCTCTTCCATTTGTGCCTTCCTCTCAGTCAGGAAGCCATCGATGCTTAATTTTTTAGGATATAGAAATTATAAAAATCAACTCCTCCCCAAGAGATCCACCAGAACTTCAGGATTCTCACCAAGTTCGCCTTAGGACTTTTCTTCTCTGAATATGGGAATGAAACTTAAAAATTAAAAAGAAAATCAAGGATATTGGTTGCCATGATTTCTCCTGACAAGCAAAAAATGTACTTACATTAAACCTGTATAAATATACTTTTTAAAACTTATGTCACTTAAATGTAAAGTTGGTAGAAAGAATTATTCTTATACTGATGGAAAACCAGACAAGATTTTTTAAGGCAAGATGTGTAAGTTAACAGAGTTTAGAAATAGATACACACAGTACCACAAGTAGATTTTTGTCATCCATATTAACAGAATCCTTGTGTGGATGGAAAATAATACGGCAAAGAGCCACAAAGGACTAGTTTCTATGCAGTAAACTATGTCAAGATTGTGACTGAACTCCAGCCAGAGTGAAACATCGGGGACCAAATCTACTCTCCCACCAGAAAAAAAAGGGAGGGTAGGTGGACAAAATATGTGAAATAATCATTTTCAAGATACAGGACATCAGGTAATGAATGGGATAGTGATCCCTAAGAGATGAGGAACACACAAGATGAGCCTTGCAATTGCCCCAACTTACTGCCTTCAGAGATTTTACACATCACAGCTGAGGGAAGGGGGACCCGGGGCAGTCCCGGACCCTGAGTAGAAGAGAAAGAGCTAAGAGTCCGAATAGGCTTGCAGCTCGGCTTCTCCGTGCAGCAGGGAAACCAGCAAATTGCCGTCAGCATATTCGTTTGCCATCCCACAGATTCTCTCAGTCAGAAACACTCTGGCTTTTATATACATGGTTTTAACTCTGACTTACAAAGATTGCTTCAGTATGTCTAACGTATCATTTGTACTATGTCTGATCCCACAAAACATTATTAAGCATTTAATATATTTTCAGCCTTTGAATTGCTCCCATTGGGCAAATCAGTAACCATGATGACTCTGTAAAGCACAGGTGGGTGTGTGATACGGTCTATTCACTTTCTGAAATGCACGAATACATCCTGCATGAGCAGAAGCTTGTAGGTGACACGTAAAGGTCACCCTCACACACATCATTACATTAGTCCAGCAGTTTACTAACCACGACCAGAATGAAGAGGAGGAAATATATCCCCCCACCCACCCCGTTGTTATCACCTCCTACCTGACTGCTGCCACCTCTGCTGGTCTCAGATTACCTGGAGGCATGACCTGGGCCCTCATCCCCTGGGGACCTCGTCACCACACCCTTCTCAGGCTGGGGCAGTTTGCCATGTCCATTTATGGTCAAGTAAGAAAAGAAGCACCTAGAAAACCCAAGTGAATTACCTGAACTCCACTCATACTCCTCTCTGCTCCAGTCACAGAGGCAACCCTGCCTCCTCTTAGAGTCACTATCATCTGCCAAGACAGTGATTTTTTCTTGCATGCTGATCCCTGGGCATAAAAAGCTAAAACTGCCAAGTCGGCAGGCACAGTTTATAATTCAATGGAGTGCTTATTGGGTACCATGAAGAAAGGTGCCCCCTTTGGGAGCATAGAATTCTAAACATGGACAGCCATGTCCGAGATGGGAAGAAAAATGCCCCCCCCCCCCC